ACCTGTCTTATGCTGTGCGTCAGATGTCAGGGCCGATTTGACGTAATCAATGGCACCGTCCAGATCACGGTTCTCTGCCAATAGAACAGCCAGCGTATATAGTGAGGAGCAGTTGGCATCGTCTTCAAGCTCCGGGGCTAGACTTCTTTCCAGATAGTCGATCGCTTCTGCCCGGATGTCGTCGCGATCCTCGTTCACAGGAGTCCAATAAGCCCAGTTAGCAAGCCCGATACCAATTCCTCTGTAAGCTGCGGCGATGTCCGACGGAGCAACGGCCTGGGAGCGGGTTGAAGCAGTTTCAGGCGCAATGAGAGTTATGCCTTGCTCTTCATCATCTTGCACATGCTTCTCGGCAAATTCCTTCAGGAGAGAAGTGAGATCCTTTGCTTTCTCGGCCTCTTTCTCCGAACCAAAGCAACTCAACATCGTAACACCCTCCGATACGGTGCGCAAAAGGATGCCATCATTCTCCAGATCTCCCGATTCAGCCCCTTTTGCTGCTCGCTCTTTGGCACTCGTGACAATTTCGATATATGAGTCAAGCGCCCTCAGAGCAAGGTCGTAGTCTGCGAGTGCACAATGCACGTGGAACAGACGCCGCAAAATCAGATGTGAATGGTATGTCTTGGTAGCAGCGCGGTAAAGGATCTATAGTCATCAGCAAGTTGCTTTCCATCTCTCAGTCCCTCGGCGTGGAACTTACATCAAGAACGTTCCTGCCGACAGCATTCTGGCCACCCTCCCCAAGCTCTTCATCTGTCCAACCGGCACCGCAAAGCACCTCCCAGTTCTGGATGACTTGTTCAACCCAAGCCTCAACTTCCGGGTTGCTCGAGTCAGCCGTGGGGAATTTTGTTTCGCGCAGAATGCTAGCTTCACAAAGCGACTCAACGCGCCGGATTTCACTGGCGAGCTGCGGGCGTTCAGGCCCATTTGCAGGAGGGCAATACGGCAGGCCCTGTTGCAGGATCCTTGATAGCAAATTGTAGTACGACTTCCATGTTGGTGATTTCGAAACCGGCTCGGTAGTGCTGTCCATAAGCATGCCTTGGGGTAAAGTCATCTGCTTGACTGAAGGATGAGACGCCCACAGTCTGAAGAACCCTAGCGTCGTGGCTATCGTTTGAGCATTAGCAGCGGCAAGGTCTTTGCTGGCTTCCTCGCACGCCAGTGAGGCACCTTGACCCAATAACTTCTCAGACCAGTAGAGAAACTGTGGGCTGTTGGTAGAGGATTGGAGTTGAATGTTCACCCATGGCGTAAGCGAATGAAGGGTCTCCAGGGCGCCTTCTGGATCGGAGGTCATGCGCTGTGCCGAACCTATCATGGATTAGCAGATGCAAATCCCATCTTCACGGTGGAGCATACGCACCCTTGAGATAACATGCCTTGACAAGACACGTCTTGGTCCATGGAGAGAGCTCTTCCCCTGCCTGCTCGAGCTCGCTCACGGCTTCTTCAAAATCCTGAGGAAACCGAGCAGCCGCCAAGCCTAGCTCATTGACAGTCCAATGTACCCATCCCAAGCAGACCTGCGCCTGGAAAACTTCTTGCTTTGATCCTTCTGCCCGGTTGACGGTGGATAAAAGTGACGGAATCAGGTCATGAAGACCGGCGGCGGAGGAAGGGCGGGGGGTGGAGGGATGCTTCTGAAGATGTGAGGCCAGCTGGTATTCAGCGCTGGCTACTTCGAGGAGACCTGTGGCATCCTCATTAGTTCATCTGCTGGCAGGCCAGTATTTCCGGGGAAAGGCAAGTTGGCATTACATGTTCTCTGCGGAGCATGTTTGGTCACTTTTCGAATCAACTCTGGCACTTCTTCCCATTTATTCTGGCAACGCGCATTGTCCAGGGCCGTAACATAGCGATGCCCCTTATCAGAGTCTCGACCCTGCGTGAGTGGTAATCGGTGCCTCGGTCAGCGGAAGGCATGTGGTGGCAGATTGAGGGGGGAAGCTTCACAAGGTAGCGATTGAGATGTTCCCAGGGGGGAATGAGAAGCCACCACTTACAGTCATGATTGAGAGAGGTCAGACAGAGACGGAGGGATCAATGATTACAATCGGAGGAAAGAGAAAGAAGCAGCGTCCATAACAGGGACGAATGCCCACTCGAGGCAGCAGAGAATCAAGATAATATGGCCCGTTGACGGCGGAGACCATCTTAAGGGGAGACCCGCCGTAACGTACGTAATGTCTCGTATTATTGCCCGAGGCTTCATGTGGTCCGAGCGTCGAAGCCAAAAATTTCCAGAAATTTGGATGTTTAGCATCACTCAATCTTGCGCCAGACCCGTCAATCGCTTCCCCGCGGTCGCTTGTGCAATTCTGCCCTCGTGAAGATGGCCTACATGTCCATGTCCCTCCACGCCGTCAACCACCGGTTGACCAACGTGCCTGTGAAGCAACTACCGCATCTCGCATCATGCCTCGCATCCTCCATTAGCAATTGCGGGGAGCTGCTGTCAACTCCCCAGAGCCAAAAGTCGGGCAAGACGGACTCTGACAATGCCGTTCAGGTTCATAAGCTCATTACTCGCTTGGGGAGTTTGCTGCAGGACCGCACGTACGAAGGTCGCTGGACCGCGGTGGTGCTTGTGAAGGCGCTGGTCGAGGCTGGCCAGTGGGAGATTCTACGCTCGAGCGAGCCGTTTGTTCGCGGGTTGATCAGCATTTTGGCTGTAAGATGCTCGATTGAAGACAATACTGCATGACAGATGCTTACTGAACTGCTGCGAATAGAAATCCGACCCCGTTTCCACAAAGAAAATGTGCATTATCACCTTAACTCGCATCTTCCACCTGACCTACCAGTATCCGACCCTCGTTCGCGAGATCACCACTCCGTCTCTACCAGGCTTCATTACCTCTGCGTTGAATCTGATCTCTGTCAAGCCATCTTCTGAACCCGTCCGGAGACTCAAGCCGAATACTCCCTTCGTCGAAGTTGTACTCCAAGCCGTCAATGAGCTGATCGCAAGGCACCCGACTATCTTCCGGCCGTTCACCGCGCAGATTCACAGTCTCCTTCAGGTCATCATCGGATCCACGTCGCCCACTTTCCCAGAACATGTATTGGAAATCGCTCAGCAGCTATTCATCTCCCTCCACAACTGCGCTCCGAAGAACACCGGCGGCGACGAATGGAAGAGCGCTTGTCGCATGACCATCACCTCTGTTCACGCGGCGTCGTCTTACGTGCTGAGGGCCATTGTGGAACAATGGGAGTCCGTTGACCCGTCGCTACGACAGATGTCGCAACCGCAGAACTACAGCCAAGAAGTGGGCAACGGCCCTGACGCTTTGGGGCTTGAGGGCTGGCAAGGTCTGAATTCCGGTATCAACCGGCTGGTTGTGCTCTTGCGCATGCTCTCTGGATTCGTCGGCACCGCTACTGCTTCTACCGTGACCATTCCGGTTGGAGCGATCCTGGATCTGACGTCTCGACTGAACATGGTGGTGTATCCCTCCGGTGGCAGCGACATCCAAGCCAACCCCCAGATTGGCCGCGCGGAGCGAGAGCAGCTGCTCACCGAACTGCCTCGCATCCACATCGCGTGCATGAAGCTCCTTCTTCACCTGGTCAACGCTCTCGAAACCAGCGCCATCCCCGTGGCACAGAACATCCTGGAGCAGGCGCTGTGGGTTTTCCGTGCGGAGCAATTCAGCCGGGATGTCCGCACCGCCGTGTATGATCTGGTCTGCGCCCTGCTCACCCGCATCGGCCCCTCCATGACCAAGCAGAGCGTGTCCTCCCTCGCCTCTATGATCCGCAAATGCTGCCACGACCTCCTGCCTCCCACCGGCAACCAGGGCGCAGCCACTGAGAAGCCGGACCCCAAGTCGAAGAACAAGTCCAGCCAAGCCACCGTCAACGCCGACTCCTTCCTGAACCCCGGCCTGAAACAAGTCCGTCAGACCAGCTCCTCCTCGTCCTTCCCTGACCTCACACGCGCTGCTTCCGAGCTCCTCGCCGCCGCGCTGACGCACACACCGTCCGAGTTCATGTCCCCGGCCCTCCGCGCCGAGGTCGACCGCACCCTCATCCTGACCTCGGACAAGAACGCTATGCTCGCCAGCGTCCTCAACCCATTCCCAGCTATGCAAGGCCGTGGTGTCGGTACCAGCATTCTCCCCTTCCTGGCGCGCAGCTATCCCGCCGAAACGGAAGTGGAATGCCTCATCCGTCCGCGCATGCCCGTGGTGATGAGCGGCCCCACAACCAACGGCTACGTGCCCATGGAAGACGACGAAGATGAAGATGAAGACGCTGCAGCCACCGCCGTTCCCACATCTACAGCAACCGGGTTCCTTAAGCCGACTCCCACCCCCACCCTCCAACACCATGACATGATGGACGTAGAGAAAGATATTCCCTCGCCGCCAAGCAAACGCAGCTACGCCGATGAAGTCGAACAGCCGGCGGCATCATCTGCTGTCCCATCAGCGACGACGACGACGAGTAGCCCCGGCTCGCAGAGCAAAAAGGCCCGGTTCGAACAAAAGGCTGCTGCTGCGGTGACCCAGCCGCCTCTGGACGCAGCATCTCCGGCGGCTTTCACCGGTACGGCTGCTATCTCTGTCCCTACGTCGTCCATCGCCGGGCCGGCTCCGGTGCAGACGCCAAAGCCCGCTCAGTCTTCTATTGCTAAGCCATCTGCCTCGGCCGCGGCGGGAGCAGCTGAGGATGAGAGCGATGATGAAATGCCCTCTCTGAATGTCGACCCGGATACAGATGATGAGGATGAGGATGAGGAGTAAACGAAAGGTTAGAGGGCATATGCATGTGCCATATACGATATAAACCTCAAAAGTCTAGATCTAGCGCTTGTTCAAAAGTTCATAAATAGATTAATCTTGAAAAGGCTCTCTCAACATGGCAGTAGATCAAAACAAACGCCATCGTCAATGCTTCATTTGAATCCAACACAAACCTGCACTATATGTATAAGTTCGCAGATAAGATAAGACGCCGGACACAGACAGATCTAACTCTATCTATCATCTACTCTCACCATCTATGATCTATGCTAACTCTATATAGACTAGTATATAGTGTATACACCAACTCACCAAAATGCCCAATAATACCAACAATATAAACTTCAATAAAACCTCACCCCCCTATCCCAAAAACCCCCACCACCATCCCACCTCCCGAACCACTTCCCAGTCCACCACCACCACCCCTTATCCCCATCATCCACACCAACCCCCAAACCCCTTAACAAACTCACCGGCAACGGCTCCGTGAACCACAATCCGCCCCTTGAAAAGTCTTCTACCAGCGATCCCGCCGTCCCCACCAGCCAAGACACTGCAAACACGGCATTACAAGCCCGCCTCGCCGGCCGCGGCATCCATAACCACAGCGGAGAAATAACCCCCTGAACGAGAACCCCCACCGCCTGGAGAACAAAGAAGCGGAATGGGCCTGCAAAGGGATACGTCTCGCGGTTTTGGACGTAGCTGCCGGAGGCATGGACAAGACCGCTGAGAGAGAATGCGACAAAGGCAGTGAGTACACGGCGGACGGAGCGGGAAGTTGATAGACGGGAGGGAAGGAGAGAGAGGAGCCAGTGGGCGGCGGAGATGAAGCCGTAGCGGAAGAGCTGGTGCCACCAGAGGCTCCAGCAGCCGGCGAGACTGTGGTCGAGGATGGAGGTGAAGAAGGGGCCGAAGGCTGGGGGGTAGAGGTAGGGAGCGGAGAGGGGGACGGAGGTGAGGGATTTGGCGGCGTTGGGGAAGGCGAGGGAGAGGCCGCCGAAGATGAGGGGGTTGAGGCAGGTCACGTAGTTAAGGGCGGCGAGGACGCCGGTGCCTGTTACTAGACAGCGGTAGATGTGGATGAGGATGGGGTAGGGGGTTAGATGGTGGAAGGGGAAGGGGGGTGGTGCAGGAGGAGATACGCTGCCCATGAAGAATTGGTCGCGGATCATGAGGAGCTTGATCAGGTCGAGGAGGAGGTAGGATTGGATGAAGAGGGTGAGTGTGGCACGGAGACGAGTACGCATGGTGATGAGTTCTGGGTTGGTGTTTGTGGTTGTGGTTGCTTTTTCTTCTTTGCTGTGATGCTCTGGGGAGTTGTTGAGCTGTGCCTGGACTGAGGCAGGTAAGGCGCCCATGGTGGGGATGCGCCAGTTCCATTCAGGCCCACGCATGCTGGTGGCTACACTTATGACCCAGTTGAGACGGTGGGATAACGTCTGCGGGTATGGTTGCCATAAGACAGGTTCGGCGCTGCTGTTGTTGGTAGTGACCATGCATTTTGGTCCTTTAGCATGGCCGTTGAGGGCGGCATCGCCGTTTGAGATAGTCATGGTAGATGATAATGGGTGGCGCTCGATGCGTTTGAAGTCGCGCTCAACATTGCGGAAGAGAAGAATCGTCGCGGACCAGATGGTGCTCCAGACGGGAATAAGGCCGCCCATGTAGCCATTGCCTCCTGTGAGCATGCGTCGATGTTGGAGGACATTGCTGGTGATGCCTATGACGCACGCCAGCACCAGGGGACGGACATAGCGGCCACCTCTTTGCTGCGGGACAAGGAGCGCTAGAATGGACAGCACGAGGGGTAACATCAGATGCCATAGGAGCACGGGCTTTACATCGCCATTTTGAACAAGGGACTCGAACTGGGCCTGATTGTCGTGGATAAGGCGGCGGTATGAAAAAGGCGGTTGAGAGGCGGCCATCGGAAGGATGGTCCGGCCTAACGATAAGAATAGGAAATGGAGAGAGGACTCAAATAAAACGAAGTGAATCTTTAAGGATAAGGTTGGGTAGTCTATAAGAAAACCATGAGGTTCAAATTAGGATACTCCATCGGGTGGCGACGAAGTCATCGCGATGCGTCAAGGCAAGGGATTGCCACGCTGGCCTACGGGCCGGTCCTGGCCGCATTCGCTTTTTCCTTTCAGTTGTTCATTCGTTGACGGTCACAAATGCCCTCGCATATTACATATCCGATCTGCAGAACTATCGATCGGGATTGACGATAGAGGCCTGGCATCAATTGTTCAAAGTATAACTAGCTGCGGCGTAGTTTCGAGCCTATTTTTTCTTTTTTGGAGTGCGACCGTTGCTTCGACACGGAAAGATGCTGGTTCGGTAACCATTCCGCACGTTGTTTGTCCAGGGGGTTTGAAGCCAGGAGGATCCTGTCAGAAATTGGTTATCATCAGCCAATTCCAAGGGTCCACCCTGCCTGTGGCGTCATTACTGAAACTGGAACAGCATCATGATCCGGTGAATCCCTGGTAGAGTTGCGGTCGGAGTATATCTCGCCTGTTCGAACAAGCAATAGCGGTGTGCCAATTTTCAGTTGGGAGGCACTGACTGATGTGTCCGACGCAGAGATATTTAATATAAAAGCTTGGAGATTCTCAGCGTGCTGCTGAAATGGTGAAGATTCTGAGAAATGATGGGTGTTCTTAGTACAACATTAACGCTGTGAATGTTGTGCAAAGAATGCATGGGGGAGTCCACACAATGTGGTAGCAAACATGACACGGTTTTATGTGATAATTCAATGAGAGCAGGTAAGCATCCCCTTGCTGGGGAGGGAAACAGATCCTGAAACCGTCGAGCGAACAGCTAAACTTCAGCTAGAGAATCAATGGATCCATGACTGAATGAGTGGATCTAGCGTCTGGAGTTGTTGGAGACCCCGAACGAAATTGAAAAGAGGGTCTCTCTCTATCTGGGGTAGAGACAAGAAATGAGAGAGAGATCATGGACCCTCCTTTAATCTCACCATCCCATGGCTCGTTGTTCCGTATTATCCTTCATAATTCACAATGCACACATAAGCGAAATGATCAGCCAGTGTACTCAACTACCCGTTGATTCAGTCCATCAGCATAGTTAATTGGCAGGACGATGGATCTCTTCATCCTTCAGACAAATGCCGTTCATCTGTTTATCGGTCGGCTAAAGCCGCCTCCCCGCGTGGCTTCGGTTCCTCTCGTATTCCACCTCCGTCTTATGCATTCAAAGCGTGCATCTTTGTGCAATGATGCCATTCCACCAACCACATGCCTGAACCATCCATGTTTGGGCCTCCGAACCAGGAATCGATCGCCGAAATGAGTATCTTTTATGCGACCAGCTCTTATGCACAAGAATCCCACACAACCCGCTCTTCCCACTAATTCGCCGGCCCATTCAATGTTGTCATGCTCGTCTCAATCTGGTGCTCTCCATTATCTGGGGCTCACCTCCGCATGATGATTGGAAGATGCACTGCGCTCGTGCTCTCCCGTAGCCCATATGGGGAGCCCAATATCGGTGTCGGTTATTGGGTTTCGCAATCTGGGATCAGCTGCTCTATCGTCAGCTCCTTGGTTATTAGAGGCTGCAAAATCCTCCTCAACGGCTAGCGCCCCCGGTGTATTTTGCAGGTCAGTTTGCTTCTTTCCGGTACTAATAGTCAGTGGCCATGACTACAGGGTTGGTCCCAGTTGGCCCCCAAGATACATAATCTCGAGTCTTCCCTGCTTAAGGGTAGTGATTCTTTTTATCTGTGGTCTGTGTCCTTCGTCCACCGTGCTCTGGGCGCCATTTTCCTTACAAACGAAAACAACCACCAAGTATGGCTGGTGACAACCCCCCCGCTGCTGGGGAGCCGGCCATGCCCACCCGAATTTCTTATTGGCGCCTTCTGCTCGACCAGGGCGTGTTTACCCAAGAAATCCTCGATTATCCATGGGAGGGCTCTGGCACGGAAGACGACCCATACCTCGTCACCTGGATTCCTAACGATCCTCGCAATCCCATGAATTTCCCCGCCTGGCGCAAATGGCTGTATACTATAACCGTGGCTTGGGCCACACTCGCTGTGTCATTGGTCTCGTCAGCGTACAGTGGAGGAGTCGAGCAAATAATGGAAAGTTTTCATGTGGGCACTGAGGTAGCCACGCTCGGCATTTCGCTCTTCGTGCTGGGCTTCGCTATCGGCCCTCTGCTCTGGGCCCCCATGAGCGAGCTCTGGGGCCGTCAATACCTCTTCTTTGTCAGCTATTGTGGGCTGGCGGCGTTCAACGCCGGCATCACCGGCTCCAAGAACATCGAGACCCTTATCGTCCTACGCTTCTTCGCGGGCGCGTTCGGATCGTCGCCCTTGACAAACGCCGGAGGAGTGGTGGCGGATCTGTTTCCCGCGAAGCAGCGGGGGTTGGCCATGAGTATCTTCGCAGCGGCACCGTTTATGGGTCCAACCATCGGCCCGGTTTGCGGAGGCTTCCTGGGGATGAACGCGGGGTGGAAGTGGGTGATGGGCTTCTTGGCTGCTTTTTCCGGTCTTCTCTGGATCATCGGTAGTCTGGTGGTACCGGAGACCTACGCCCCGGTGTTGTTACAGCAGCGCGCAAAGAAGCTGACCAAGGTGACGGGAAAGATTCATCGAAGCAAGACGGAGGCGGAGAAGGGGAAGGTGCCCTATTCCACCGTCTTCAAGACAGCCCTGTCGCGGCCGTGGCTTCTTCTGTTCCGCGAGCCGATCGTCTTCCTATTATCCATATACATGGCAATTATCTATGGGACGTTATACATGATGTTCGCAGCATTCCCAATTGTGTACGAGGAGCTACGCGGTTGGAACCAGGGCGTCTCGGGTCTATCATTCCTGGGGGTCATGGTAGGCATGAACATAGCAGTCCTGTACAGCATCTGGGATAATAAGCGGTATGAAAGGACTGATGAAGCTCACAAGGGATTTGCACCTCCAGAAGCGCGTCTCCCTCCATGTCTGATGGCCTCGGTGATGATCCCCTTGGGCCTCTTCTGGTTCGCTTGGACCAATTACCCTTCGATCCACTTCATGGCGAGTATCGCGGCCTGTGTGCCTTTCGGGTTCGGAATGGTGCTGGTCTTCCTCAGCTTAATGAACTACCTTATTGATGCCTACACCATCTTCGCAGCCTCGGTGCTGGCCGCCAATTCCGTTCTGCGCTCGATCTTTGGCGCCGTCTTCCCGCTCTTCACGACCTACATGTACCATAACCTGGGGGTTCACTGGGCCTCCAGCATTCCCGCATTCCTGGCGCTCGCGTGCGTGCCATTTCCATTTTTATTTTATAAATATGGCCCGGCGATCCGAACTCGGTGCAAATATTCAGCGCAGTCGGATGCCTTTATGAGGAGGCTGATGGAGCAAAGCACGCGAGACAATCGTCAGCCGGAGCCGGAGAAAGAAGAAGTTGCGGAGAAAGAGACAGAAGTGTCGCCGGTTCAAGCCTCTTCATCTACGCTCGGGGAGAAGTCGCGACTCGGTGATCTCCCTGCCGTGGCAGCCGAAGACACTGCTCGGACCCGCTCGATAGCGTCGCAAGGGTCGCGGCGACCGGGCTCTGTGAAAGCAGAGTCTGTGTACGAAGGGAATCCGTATGACGTTGACCGAGTGAATACTCGTGAGTCTTTCAAAGACTGAATAGTCGCTTCTGTATATGTATTGTGAGTGTCGAACCTCAGACCCTCTTGGCATCGGGATTTAAATTAGTGTGCGGTTAGTTGCATAGCTAGCGTTCTCGTATATAGAATGGTAGATCAGCACTAAGACTTACGCTGCAGAATAACGAGGTAAATGCAGAGAATAGAATAGCTCTTCCTTTCAATGTCATCTACGAGGAATGAATTGAAGCAACTGTCACTTTTAAGTATGGAGTAGTATCCACCCAAGTCACATGGGGCCGCGATTTAGCGCGTTTCTCCGCTTCTTATCGAGTAAACTTATCAGTGACATCCCCGATTCTATCTATCAACTTTCGTCCTTCATCTCACCATCTACACCACCATCCCCATCATGGGTCGCACCCCAGGGAAGCGCGGCTTCGAGCAGGTTGACCTCACCACCGACGAAGCCACCAACAACACGCGACATCATCCCACTCCCCGCACCACCATCAATGGCCAACGCTTCGGCCAAGACACGACCTTCGTGCCCCTTAGCCAATCAGGCGAGGACGAAGACGACGCCCAAGCAACAGATCTCATCCAAGGAAGCCAAGATGCTGGCGATGATGCGTCCACGTACATTCATTATGGGGACCTGAAAGCCAAGATCGTCGGCGTGCGGTACTATCGCGGACATGCTACGATCGGGGAGCATGTTCGTATTGTGCGCGACCCGGGGAACCCGTATGATTCGAATGCTATCCGCGTGGATAATGTCATGGGGCAGCAGATTGGCCATATTCCGCGGACGGTGGCAGCTAAGTTGGCGAAGTATTTGGTAAGTAATATTATCTTAGATTGTAATGTGTAGTTTGAATTGGTTTGGGGCTCTGTTTGACCTGGTTTTCTGGGGTTGGTGTAGGATGATAGGTCTCTTGTTGTTGATGGTGTCTTGACCGGTGTGATTGGTGCTTTTGATTGCCCAATTTCCCTCAAGCTGTTTGGGACTAGTCACCCGGAGGCGAGACAGGCACTAAAGAGTCGGATGGAAATGGATAATTTGCCTCTTGGAGGGTTCAAGCAGAATGAGCGCAATGAGAAGAAATTAGAGAAGGAACGGGAGAAGGCGAGGAAGGAGGCGGCGAAGTTGGCGAGGTCGCTTGCCAAGGGCAAAGGGAAGCAGTTCCAGGGAGAGAATACATTGGGCTATTCGAATCTCTTCACTGGGGAAGGGCTGGTTGAAGGTGAGAATCTGGAGGAACTCATTGGCCAGAGCAGCACTTTTAATCCACGCGATATCGGTCATGTCGCGGAGGACTTTGGCATGAAGGAATCCGATTTGGAAAATATGCCGATGGCGGAGTCTCCGGCTGCTTTGGCGACAGAGCTTCTTCCGTATCAGCGCCAGGGGCTTGCTTGGATGATTGCTAAGGAGAACCCGAGTCTTCCTGGCGATGGGGGTGATGTCGTGCAGCTCTGGAAGAAGAATGGTAACAAGTACACCAATATTGCTACCAATTACTCTATGACGCAGGCTCCGCCTCTTGCGAGCGGTGGTATACTGGCTGATGATATGGGATTGGGAAAGACTATTCAGATCCTTTCCCTAATAATGGTCAATTCTCAGCCCAAGACTCCGGAGTCCTCCAGAACCACACTGATTGTGGCCCCAGTTGGTGTGATGAGCAATTGGCGAAACCAGGCGCTTGTTCATACTCATAGCGACAAAGCTCCGAAGGTGCTTATATACCATGGGCAAGGGAAGAAGGAAGCAAGCAACCTTGACCAGTATGATGTCGTTGTTACGAGCTACGGTGCACTGGCCATGGAGTACAGCCCGAATGCCAAGGCACCTCCTAAGAAGGGTCTCTTTTCCATCCATTGGCGTCGTGTCGTTCTTGATGAAGGGCATACCATCCGCAATCCACGGTCAAAGGGTGCCCTGGCAGCTTGCAACCTGAGGGCGGGCTCACGATGGACACTTACAGGAACGCCCATTGTCAACACACTCAAGGACCTCTACTCGCAGGTGCGCTTTTTGAGACTCACCGGTGGCCTCGAGGATCTGGCCGTCTTCAACAGTGTCCTGATCCGGCCTCTATTGTCCGGAGACCCTGATTCCCGCCTGCTACTCCAAGCCCTGATGACTACTATCTGCCTACGTCGCAGAAAGGACATGAACTTTGTGAACTTGCGCTTGCCGCCCCTCACTTCACGCATCCTGCGCATCAAGTTCCACACCCACGAGCAAGAGAAATACGACATGTTCCAGTACGTATCCCGACCAACTTCCTTGATCCTAACTGACACCCCGCAGATCCGAGGCCAAGGGCATGCTCCTGGACTTCAAATCCAAAGACAAATCTAACACCAACTACTCCCACCTTCTCGAAGTAATTCTCCGTCTCCGACAAGTCTGCAACCACTGGGCCCTCTGCAAGAACCGACTAGACAAGCTCGCCGACCTCCTCGAGAACAACAAAGTCGTCCCCCTTACACCCGAAAACATCAAAGCCCTCCAAGAGATGCTCCAAATCCGCATCGAAAGCCAAGACACCTGCCCCATTTGTCTCGACAATCTCGAACAGCCCGTAATCACCGCCTGCGCACACGCCTTCGACCGACCTTGCATCGAACAAGTCATCGAACGCCAACATAAATGTCCCATGTGCCGCGCCGAAATTCAAGACACTACCACCCTGGTCTCTCCCGCCGTCGAAATGGGCGAAAGCACCGACACTGTCGACGCCGACCCGGACAATCCCAGCAGCAAAATCGAAGCCTTGATCAAGATCCTCACAGCAAAGGGCCAAGCACAAGGGACCAAAACCGTCATCTTCAGCCAATGGACCTCCTTCCTCAACCTCATCGAACCCCACCTTCTCCGCCACGGCATCGGCTTCGCACGCATCGACGGCAGAATGTCCTCCATCAGTCGTGATAACTCCACCCTGCAATTCTCCACCGATACATCATGCACCGTCCTCCTCGCTAGCCTGAGCGTCTGCAGCGTTGGCTTGAACCTCGTGGCAGCTAACCAGGCTATCCTGTGCGATAGCTGGTGGGCTCCCGCCATCGAAGACCAAGCTGTCGATCGTGTATACCGGCTGGGTCAGACACGCGAAACTACTGTGTGGAGACTTGTTATGGAGGATAGTATTGAGGATCGCGTGCTGGCTATTCAGGAGAATAAGCGGAAGTTGATGCTCGAGGCGTTCAGGGAGACAGCGACGAGGAAGAAGGTGGATGATAGAGCGACGAGGGTGGCAGATTTGGAGAAGTTGTTGAAGTAGATTTCTTCATGCAATTTACTTACTTACCTGCTTCTTCAAGACTGAGTGCTATGTGAGCTATATTTCTTTCTGGATTTACTACCTCTTCAGATATCTATCTACTCTATTCTTACATGATAGAAGCGTAACCTGAATGGAGACACATCTTACACATCATTAGCTCACTCTCACTCGTGGACTCATCACTAACTCTCTTCTGAACTCACCTTCCACCCCTACGAATAATCCATTACTACCACTACTATTTAACCATCACCCCATAGTACCAACCAAAGACAATACTTCTAATCAAAGTTACTACTAGTAGCGTCATCATTCATATTCATTAATCACATTAATTCTATGTACGAAACACAAAGAGTGAGGTGAGATCAAAGATACAGAAAGAAAATGAAGAGTGAGCTTGCCGCCGCCGTAGCTGCAGAAGTGCATTTCGCTAATACAATCTCGAAGGAACGCCAAATAGGAGCAAGAATGGAAGGTATCTTATGTCATCTTTCACTGGAAGAGGGTATTCACGGGGATGCAAGTAAGGCATGTACTGTGGAATAAGAGAATGGGAAAATAAGGAAGGGAAAGCGACATTGGATGGATGGAATCAAGGTTGGTCGGACGAATTGAAGTGGTACGGTAGTCTTCTGTAGGAGTGAAATATGTGAATAGAAAAAATAGTAGAGGTATTCTCACTGAGGCCTGCAGCTCGGCTTATTATGATCCTGCAAAGCTTCAGGTGACTCTGATCGATCTCTTATCGCGCTTGAGCCCTCGGGAGTGCTCCCGCCGCCGTTGTAAGTTTGTGCTGATGCAGCTGTAGCAGAGGGGTTGTGAGTAAGGAGACTGGAATTAGTGTTGTTTCCCGGCGTCACAGGAGTGCTCTGAGCATGAGCCTGGTCCGGACTGGTCAACGTCAGGCCAGGGATCGCTACGGGAGTTTGCGGAGCTTGTTGTGTGATGCTCGTGTCTGGAGCCAGAGCCGGAGGGCCAACATTGTGTGCACTAGCTGGGATAGTAAGCTGGGGTGCAGGTGCAGGTGGCTGAGGCGCAAAAGGCTGTGGAGGTAGCTGAGGCGGCAGTTGGCCAGGGTGCATTGCTGGAGTTGTGCCATAAGGCCCGGTGCCCTGTGCTAAGGCCATTCTTTGCCTTTCAATGATCATCCTCTGGTAGGCTTCGTAATCAGTCCGCTTGAGCCGCTCATCATCGAGTTGCTGCTGAGCAGCATTTTTCTCATCCTCGGTCAACTTGTCGTTGTCGTCCTTTTGGAACAGCTCCGTGAGTTTGATCTTTCGAATTAGTCTTTGGTTTTCATCGGCGTGAGCGTCTGCGCGGATGATCTTGTCTAGGACTTCTGGGTCCTTTCCGAGACACTCTGTGACGTCTTGCTGCGGTGTTTGCTTCGCTGGGAAGAGGTACTCTCCGAGGGACTTGGTGGCTAGGCGGATTGGGTTTTTCTTGTCGACGACACGGAAAGCGAGCTGGGTTTTAAAGACGGCTTTGTTGTACATGACCTCTTCGAAAGTTCCTCCTGCAATGAATCGGTAGACGAAGACGGGCTTCTTTTGACCTAAGCGATAGGCACGTCCGACGGCCTGCTCCTCCCAGACGGGATTGAATGTGAAGTCAAATATGATGACACGGTTAGCACCGAAGATATTTAGGCCTAGGCCGCCAGCACGGGTGGAAATTAGGTATACATCCTCTGCAGAGCCTTGATTGAACTGCTTGGTAGCAGCTTGTCGGCTGGCCATTGGAGTGCTTCCATCTAGACGGCAATATTTCCAACCAAATGCCTTGAGAATATCATTCTCGACGTAGTTGAGCGTAGGTATGCTGTGGGAAAACACAAGCACTTTATCTCCAGCCCGGACAGACTCTGCGATGATCCTGTTCAGAATTTCGGCTCGACATGACAGTGTTGCGGCGCTCATGTC